GGTCACAGAGGAAGGCTGTGCTTCTCTGGCCTCAGCTCTGAGCTCCAACCCCTCCCACCTGAGAGAGCTGGACCTGAGCTACAATCATCCAGGAGACTCAGGACTGAAGCTTCTGTCTGCTGGACTGGAGGATCCAGACTGGAGACTGGAGACTCTCAGGTATGTAGAGGCCTGCTGCAGACACACACACTGTCTGATAGAGGAGGGACTTTATGCAGGTGCAGACTTTACTATTAGACAAGGTGATGAAGTATCTTCTTCATGTCTCCTCCCTGCTCTGTATCATTAAAGATGAAGACTCCACTTCCTGTTTCTCTGTGGTCAATGTACATCCATACACACAAGCCTCCATCTGAACACAGTAATCAAACAGTCTGTGTATGAGCCATGTAATGTCCATGTGTGCATGCTGACAGAGAACGTGCTGGTCTGACCCCCCTCCTCCTTTCAGGGCGGAGCCTGGTGGAGTCCAATGGTTGAGACCAGGTCTGAGGAAGTGTAAGTGTGTTTTTAATGTGACTGATGAAAACAAAGCAGCACATTCAACCATCTTCAAACTGTCACATCACTGATGTCAGGAGTCATCATCAAACTGTCAATAACTGATCAGATGATCAATAACTGCAGCTGTGTCTTGTTCTCTCCATCAGATTTCTGTGAACTCACAATCGACACAAACACAGTGAACAGACAGATCAAACTGTCTGACAACAACAGGAAGGTGACACATGTGAAGGAGGATCATTCATATCCTGATCATCCAGACAGATTTGACCTCCGACCTCAGCTGCTGTGTTCAACTGGTCTGACTGGTCGCTGTTACTGGGAGGTTGAGTGGAGCGGACATGTTGAGATATCAGTGAGTTATAGAGGAATAAGAAGGAGAGGAAATAGGAAAGACTCTGTGTTTGGATGGAACAATCAGTCCTGGAATCTGAACTGCTCTGATACTCTTGGTTACTCTGTCTGTCACAATGACAGAGAAACATATATCTCCTCCTCCTCCTCCTCCTCCTCCTCTTCGTCCTCTTCCTCCCCCTCCTCTGTCTCTGACAGAGTAGCAGTATATGTGGATTGTCCTGCTGGCTCTCTGTCCTTCTACAGAGTCTCCTCTAACAAACTGATCCACCTCCACACCTTCAACACCACCTTCACTGAACCTCTGTATCCTGGGTTAGGGTTCTGGCCCTTGTGCTTGCCTGGTTCCTCATTGTCTCTGTGTTGAATGTAGTAGAGAGAGAAACGTTCTAATTGTTGAACAGATAGTTCAGTCTCTACAAGTCCGTCCGAAAATTATCTTTGTAACGATACACTGAACATAACGAATCACTAAGTTTCATTTATTTAGTACTTCCTGTCTTATTGTGAAATCACTAACATGTCCTGTCATTTCAGTCCAATCATCCTCACCTGGTCCCCACTTACTACCTGCCCCTGCTCTTCCCTGTCAGTAGACCCTGTATATGTACTACAGTTTCCTTTTTTCCTGTGTCAGATTGTCATTGTCATTGTTGTGCGTGCTTTTCTCATGGTTTTCCTCGTGTGATTGATCATGTGATTGCCTAAGTCTGTCTTTTGTAGACTGGTAACAAATTTGTTATTATCCATAAGGTTTGCTGTTGGAATGTGTCAAAACTATAACAGCGTACT